CAGTCCACGCTCCACGATCTTCAGATTTTGACTCTTTTGTAAATAATGTAAATATACGATTTGTTAGCAAATGAGAATATCCTTCTTGCTACAGAACTACAAAAATCGAAGACTATCTCTGCAAATATAGTGCTATCTAGTATACCATAATTGAGTATAATCGGATTACAGCGTCCCACTTACAAAGACTGGAGCAAAACAAGTATAGACTCTGCCGTGCCACTACAACAGAAACAATGGTATTGTATTCTCGTGGAGATTAGAGTTCGGAAAAATTGTGACAGGCTTTGGCACGGCAAATATGCCAATGTCATTATTCATTTTTGCATATTCTACGGTGACAGTGCAAGGAAACAATCACACACCAGATACTCAGCAAGACAAGCACACGCGCTGAACGTATAACTCTTGTGTATTCGACTACTTCATTCTTCTCTTCAACGTCTAGGTGGACATTCCAGATCGTGATACGCAGAAGTACCACACGAAAAACAGGGATGGGGTGAAGTATGTCTAACACTATATACTTACACTGAACAAAATATAGATACCAAAAACTGGCGACCCTTACAAAAATGAACAATGAGTTTCAATTGAGCTTCTAATGTGTTTTTATAGAGTCAAATGAAACTCATAAGAAACTCATCGTTAAATGAGTTTTATCATTACCCACTCCATATCTATTCTTTTGAATTTACTCATTACAAATTCAAGTGAGGTTTATCGTTACCCAATCAATATCAATTCTTTTGAGTTTACTCATTACAAATTCAAGTGAGGTTTATCGTTACCCAATCAATAGCGATTCTTTTGTGTTTACTCATTACACATTGAAATGAGTGTTATCAAAAAAAAAATCAATAAATCTACTCCCTACTGCATTGCACCCGAAGCAAATAGCGCGTCGGTGCTAGTTCTGATCTACAGATTTATTTCCTGTGCTTAAAATAATAACTGTATTCACTCTATTTCACTTTTAAAGGCTTATTCAAACGATGTATGTCTTCAACGCGCCACAGTTTAGCGAAACCAAGATTTCGCGAAATCGGCCTGTTCACACGTGGAGTTTGACGCGCGAAACCTGTGACGTATTGACTCACGAGAATTTCGCCAAACCTTGTCTGCACCGGGAATATTAAGCGTCTCGCATCAAAATGATATGAAGTACGCACAGTGTGAAGAGACAGCCTGTTTTATTAATGCCACTCAATGAATTTCGTCAGATTCAGCTCAACGGGTTTACTAGTCCTGCCAAACCCGGGAAAAACCGCGAGATGATCTCGAAGCATTTCGGACATTTTTGCACCGCTAATAAAGAACGTTATCCCCAGTCATCATGTTTATATACAGTGCTTGCACCCGCCGCGACTGTTGAGCAATCTGCACCGTGCCGCAACCGAGTAGGACCAAGACTCGTCGCCCGTATGCACCGCTTCGCCGCTTGTCGCATAAGAGCTTGTCACTCGACATGTTTGTTTTGTTTTCTTTCGGCTTCGGCTCGGATACAGAATTGGCCAAAAATCAGACTCCTCCAAAAGCTCGCTCCTCCTCGAAGGTCAGACGTCATAGCGAAGTCGAGCGGCCATTGGCAGCGTCCGCGTTTCTCCTTCGGGAGATTGACGGGCGTCGGTGAGGTTTCAGCGAAAAATTGCTCCAGAAGCGAGAAACACGCGCCACTTTTTTCGAAGGCGCGCCACTTTTTCGGTTGCGTTCAGACGGGGAATCTGTTTCCCGAAACCTAGTTTCGCGACACAAGATTCGCCAACAAGATGCATCATGTGAACATATCTATTTACGGCGCCCCTCAATCGCGATTTGGTCAGTTTCGGTTTCAGTATTGTAACTTTTACTGGTTCGGTTTCATATTTTAAGGATCGCGTCTTCGACGCCCCATCGGTAGCGACACCAGTTCTTTATTTTTTTTCTTTTCCCGGCATGGTTTCGCCAGTTTTGCGACCGGTGTGTGTGTCGCGGGATGGAAATGCCTTTAAACACGGAAATGTGCTAATTTAATCAAGTTTATCTATCTGTGAAGTTTTCTCTTGTGATGATTATGTTCAAGAAGAGCGCGGAAGGCCGACGACGCGACAGAACGAGCAACTCAACGCAGTTGGTAAGCATACTTCTTTGTTTGCATTGTACGCGTTGAACGAGAAGTGAACATTATGGAGTTTTAGAATAATTTCGTGGCTGCTGTGCATGCGTAGACCCAAAACAAGCATTGGACTCGAGCTTTGGGGCCCGTTATTTCTCGATAATAGCGTGGGTACCGCAAAAGGCGGCGCCCACGACATCTCTGTTGATCGCGTCTTCGACGCCGTCGCCCGCTCGGGAACTGCGTGAGTCGCACTCGGCGACCGCGGTCGGTATGGTCGAAGCGTATTGAAAACGCCACGGTTCGCTGGATTCACAGCTTAAAGCTATCGAGGCGCAAAGCTATCGAGGCGCGTGTACTTACGATCGCGGCAGACATGTAAGCATGCCTGGGTAGTGGATCGTCTGGGCTTCGTAAGTACAACAGAGCAGCTTGGCAGCGACAAAAACAAAACATGCGGCATTCAGTGTAAAAAAACTATAAAAATGTTACTCTGGACAAAAAGCTTGTTTAATTTTCAAGATAAAACGTTCTAACTTTCAAATAAAAGCTGTCGCGACATCTTGGTGGCGTTTTAAGCGCGAGATGCTTGCGTTTGGAGGGTCCCCTTCAGAGAAACGCTATTCTAAAACTCTTCGCCGCAATCCTCGCTATTTTGCCGTCCGTAACGCGCGGTAAAGTAGCGCCCGATATTCTAAAACTCCCTATTTTCTCGTTAAGCTAGAATGTTTTTTTTTTATTTTTTTTTAACTAGTTCGGTTTGCTTTATCTGTCCTAATGTTTGGATCTATGTGTAGCGTAATGAAAAGTTGCCACTCATTCTGTGTATGGTCCGAAAAAGTGTAGCCCATGTCAACAGAGCACGTATTGAATTCCTAATGCTACTTTCAGTCCGTTGCTTTAGGAAATGTCTTATTGGTCTGGTAGTGTACTGATGCCTTTCAACTATAAATTGATTACATTGATAATACTTCGTTACATTTCCGAAGTTAGACTTCCTTGGAATTCGGTTCATGCAGAGACAATATTCCTTTTCAGTCAAAATGATTGAAGAGGATATCCATCTTTTGTTTTGAAGTTACGGAAGTGGACTAAATTGTACTGTTAGGACTAACTTCGATTTCCTGGCTTTCTAGAATTGAACTGGGTTTACATTTGTCGGTTAGAACTTTTGATATGGCAGTTGTTCTTTTCGCCCTTTTTTTTTCTCTTTCATTTTGCAATTGTGATGTGATCAAGCCTAGGGCCGCAGTTATTCCCAAATGAAGCAGCAGCAGTGTGTTCTCAGCTTGCGTCACTTCGATTAATTTCAAGGCATGCCACGAAATGAATGCCCCTGTTTATACACCGTTGGAATTGGGACTGACTTCAAAATGCAGTTCGACACAGTGTTTAAGTGGTATAAGACGTGTGTTGAATGACCTATGCGGTTGTCACAGGTTCGTGGTTGGTCAACCTGAAACGCTTGTCTTCCTCTTCCCATTGGTTTGATGCTCTGCCGGCATTATACTCTGTTTCATACTTAGCGTGCAACGCTGTGAAAGCTACTGGCGCGAGTGCGTGGCTTCATCTACGGTTTTGCTTCCGCGAGAAGGCGTGCAAATGATCAACAAGATCAAGCCCCACGCTCGCGCCAGTACACTCTAAGCCCGGTCCCACTTAGTAAGAGGGACATTTCTTCGATTTTTTCCCACTTAAATTTAAGGGGGGCGACAGGCCTCTTAATATTACACGGGGATGCCCCCACTTAATTAAGTGAGACACCACCCCTCTTAAAGTAAGCGGTAAGGCGTCTCCCTTAAATTCGAGGTCAGTCCCACTTTGTAAGAGGGACATTTTTGAGATATTTTCCCCCTTAAATTCGGAGGGACGGTGGCCCGCTTAATATGCAGGGGTATAGTCCCCCTTAAGTCGGGGTCACGCTGCTTATACATCGTACAAAATATATTCTGCAGACATGTTCCGGAACGAGTCGCCGCGACATCCGTGCCTCGTACGCCACGAGGCAACCAAATCAAGAGGTTGCTTTGTCATGTGGCATACAAAGCACGGATGTCGCGGTGACTCGTATCGGAACATGTCTGCAGAATGTATTTTGTATGATGTATAAGCAGCGTGACCCCGGCTTTAGGTTATCTCTCTTATTGTATCGTAGAATTTCTGCTCCTTCGTGTTTGGACTGTCGGGTGATATGCTGCACTGCAGTGATACAGTTCTCGCACTTTCGCTGATATTGTTTAACCAAAGTTATTCTGTGCTGCGTAACACAATTGAAATAAAACAATGACAATCTTTAAGAGTAAAAACGTGTTTTATTTGCCATGACACAAGAAAATATTTTGAAATGTCTTTATCAAAATAGTAATTTTATACCGATGTTCTGGTAGCTTTTACGGATAAAAAAGACGTTAGAACGACGCCAGAAATCGGCGTTTCTCGGAAACTATCGCACAAAAAATTCCGTGCTGCGAAGTGACTCCTTTTGCCTATCATAAACAAAAACATAACAATCGTGTTGAATTTTTTTTTTTTTTTTTAGCAGGTAACATAAAAAAAAATAAGTATACATTTTTTTCCCGCACAACACATGGAAAGAAAATCGGCATAACTCTCGGAGGCAGCTCAGCGAATGTAGATGCCGAAACATATGATATTATACAAAAAAATGAATTGCGACACTAAGCACAACAAGCGTGACGTTTTGCATTGCTTAATGTCACAACTCAGACTGGGTTTTGTGGTTTAATCTAATGTTTCGGCATCGTGATTCGCTGAGCAGCTTCCGTGAGTTAAGGTGATTGACTTTCCAAGTGCTGTTCCGGAAAGTAGATTCCTGTGCTTTTTTTAGAGCGTAGTTACCTACTTCATAGCATTAAAAACAAATTATTCGGTGTCTCTTGCCATCAGTAGAAGCTCAGAATTTATGTCGTTTTTGAACGGCCATGAGCAATTGTCTGAGCTTGTCTGACATAAACTGAATCGAAACACTTTATTTTCAACGAGCAGACCTTAGAGGAGTCCAAGGGTTTGTCCATGTGCCATAGGGTAGGAGAGCCTTGTTATTTAATACACCCATAAGCACATGACTAGTGCCCCCTCCATAGTCGTGCTAGCGGAGAGTGTCACTGACCCGTTCCCACAAACGATCCGTTTCTCCGAACCGAAGAAAGTCTTGGGTCCTGGAACTTCTTCGTCAGGGGTAAAATCGTCCTGCAAGCAGCAATTGTTAAAAAAAAAAAATGCGTCAGCGTCAAACTTCCATTTCTATTTTTGCATTCGCTTTTTCACATACCATAGGTGATGAGAGAACTCCTGGCCAATCGAGACCGGAGAATGGTCTTAACGTTCAAGAATGTTGTCGGGTTGTCTCCGCAAAAGGCGCCTTTTACCTCCTCCAGTTTTCCCAGCATGGCGACGATCGTGTTATGGAACCGAAGCTGTGCATCCACCTTTAGCTGAATGAAAGATCATATTGTTTTCCTTTAGATACAGGGAGTGGGAATTAGAATGAAGGTAATGAAGCGCTTTCACCTGTTTTCAAGCAGTCGGTAGGAAACAAATGCGAAAATAAAGTGAAAACAGCTCAAAGATTCGGAACCCAATCTGTATACGATAAAAAAGCGAGTGACATTAGCTTATGACGTAACTTCTGCTACTATTAATATTTGGTACGAGAATAGACTGCTGTTTTAGGTAATTTACGAGAATCGTTTTTGTATTAGCAAGACAAAACGAAAACGCATTTAGTAGTAGATGAACATTAGAAGCCCCGTGTGCTTTGGAAAGCATGGATTGTATTTGCGGCTCGAAGCTGCAGAAGAGATGTAAGCATGTTTTAGAAAGCAACATAATCAAATAAAAAATTATATTTCTGTAGACATTTCGGCGCAAGCCATTCATTTATTCTTTTTTTTCAGAAGCAACGCATATGCCAACAGAACGTGAATAGTGCCTACCCACATACCAGAATACAAAAAGTTCATAATTACCGAGTTCGTTGTGGGCCGTGTGCGGGTGGCCGCAGTAAGCTCAGCACTCAGGGTGGTGCGTTCCACCGTGCAGGGGTCCTGGTAGAGCTCTTTACACGAGCAATCTGAGCAGAACCCCCGTCTGATTTCCTTCATGCCAACGTTCGTTGCCATTGCCTCACTCTGAAAGAAGATTTTTAACGGTCAGTCATTTAACGCCCATAGTCAACCTAGCCCTAAAGCGCCTAAGAAAAAAAAAAACAAAAAAAAAGTTATGTTTATATATTTTTCGCAGATGTACCACACAGAAAAAAAAAATATTCAACCAGCTACAGGAAACAAAGAGCATAATAGACATCATGAATAAAACCTCCAAAAACAAAAGCATGGTCAACGCCGAAAAAAAAAACAACAAAAAAACGGTAGCTTTGCCGGCGCGACCGTCAAAATATAACGAACAAAAGAGTACGCCAAAGAAATATATAAAACAAAATGTACTCCCGGGCCACCTCTCAACCCTTCCCATCTTTCCGCAGACGCCGCGACGCCGACGCAACTCGAACGCGCGAAAGAAAAAACCTTTTCCTTTTTTTTTTGTGGGATTTGAATTAGAAGTTTGTCCACCTACCCCCCCCCCCCCCCATTTTCACATACATACACACACATCATGGGTTTTTGCTCGCCTCCCACTTGAGAAAAAGTTCATAATCACTGCAACGCTAACGATGTCTACAACATAACATTGCAGTGTAAATTGCTGTAATGAATTCTGAAGGCAAACAAACGCAAAATCGCCAACATTGTTTCCGTCAATCAACGCTCTCGGGCGGTCAACCTCAAGCATTTAGAGTGCACACCGAGAAACAAATCGGCGAGCCAAGCTTCCAAACACTGACAGCCCCAGCTAGGGTGCCTTTATGTTGGCTTTGCCTTAGGGAGGGCGATGCCGTCCTTTGTAGTACCCGGTGCCGACAGTGTACGCTCACGGATAAAATAAAAGGAAATTGTCGGTAATAAAATGCCGGCGTAGCAGTGCCAAAGCTAGCAGCTCGAGCTGGGAGAAGAACGAACGCGCGTTCAATATTAAAAAGTAGACAAAAGCGTTGGACAGAAAATGGTCTGATATCACCAGCCTAGGACATACGCGTACCAATGGGACACCCTAGCCCGCTAAAAGTGTTTTGTACGGAAGACAGCCCTGCGGCTCACGGCAGGGCAAACGATTAGCGACGCTCTGTCCTTAGCTGAACGAGCAGATCCAGGAAGCGTTCGCGTCCGCGGACTACAGCTGAACACTCTCACTTTACATGCAAAGCTCGTGCATCTCACAGCCAGCGTGAAAATATTGATGGCTCGTTATTCCCACCCGCAATGCACCCAAAACAAAAGCGTCAATATGACAGGATTACTCACCCGAAGGAAGTCAAACGAGCAGCATGACGCTTGCGGCTCTCCGCCAACGACCGTTTCCAGCTCTCCTTGAATTGGCGCGAAGCCTCAGCACCATCCGAACTCTTTGCCGTGGATTAGTGCGCCTGCCCCTCTCCTCCTGACCGAACTACATTGGTCCAGTTAAGAGGGACCAGTCCCCTCTTAATATGAAGGGAGACACGTGAATCTTTCTGTCGGTCTTTCCTGTTCAGAGGGACCAACGAAAGGGTTTCCTTGGTCTCTCTTAATATGTTGGTGTCCCTCTAGATGTTGCTATTTTATTTTTCAATTTCCCTCTTAGAAAGAGCTGTCCCCCTGAAAGCATTGTTGTCCCCTCTAAAATCAGAGGGACAGCGTTTTTTATGAGAGACCGGTTTTAGAGTGTAGCTTTGACAGCGTTGCACCTTAAGTATGAAAAGGAGTATAGTCTCATCCGAGCTCAAGCCTTTGACGCCCAGGTAAACATGTGTGAGGATTGTAATTGACCCTCCCCCCAACCACCCTTAAACAAACCAAAATGACAAAAAAAAAGTTGTGACAGTGGTGTTTGAGAGAAACTGCGGACGTTTAATTACCCTGCCTGAAACTTTGCAAACATTTCAGTGTGGTTGCAGCTGTGTGGGCGAGGTAAATCCAATATGAAAACTGGACCCTGAAGCGTCGCCTTCAGGATGCCGAAAATAATTATGGTAAGTTAGAAATTAACCCACTAGTATACTTCCTAAATATTTGGGCCGAGTGTCGATTAAAAACTTTTAACCCAATTAATTTGTCACATATTTTGAGGCATAATATCTTGAAAAGAATGGAACTGCAGATGTTCCAAACTGGCTGAGGTAAATCAGCCTTGCGGTGCACCAAGGTTTACACTGAACATACTTTTGTGTATTGTCCACCAGGTGTAGCTCTTGCATTGAAGTTTTATGTTGTAGTTTCTTCAATGTTTGAACTTTCAGCGTGCCAGCTGGGTAGTGTGTAAATGTTTTTTTTTATAGCGCAAGCAATATCTTAATCCTGGTGGCAGAAAGTTTCGGCTAGCAGTTGACATGGTTGGACAACGGCGTGCATGCTTGCTTTCTCTGAAGCGGCCAATGAAGCGAAATAACAGCATGTGCGGATTGTCCATGCATTTAATTTTTTGTTTGTTGTTCGTTTCAGACTACATGTGCTACCAGTACAAGGGGGTGGCCCTCCAGGCACTGACGACCAGCATCTCATCTCTGCTGTGCTGTTGAGGGAAATTTAAAGGGTAAATATTGCAGCTGCAGTTTTTTCTATTCTGTCCCTGCTACACTTCCTGCGAATTTCTGTGCGTACTTGGTCTTTTTGTTTTCATAGTACTGTAAACTTTTGTTATAGTCAGTTGCAACTTTTGAATAGCACAAGCCCCTCCCACAATTCCCTTTGCTCGCCATGATTGGCGGTGTCCTCTCGGCTCTCCTCTCTAGTGTTTGCTTATTAAAAAGAGTGAAGGGCTTTGTGGGAGGGCCTTCTGCTATTCTAGAGTGGCAACAGAGTATAATGACCTCAGTTAATTTAACCATTTCGAAGAGTCCTAGCGGGCACCCATGCATTTTTATGGGAAGGACTTCGCATCATATTTTGAACTGAGAAAATGACCCCAGAAACAGGAAAGCACGGGCTTTCTGCTACAAAATTAACCGAACCAAACTTGTTTTTCAAGATCAGACCGGACAAAGTCGACTCCTGCCTTAAACGGCGAGTAACAGAAATCCTGTGCTAGTCTCGCCACGTTGGGAAGCTAATGCTATGACCCCCACCTTGATTTCATTAATGCTTGTTATGGCTGTTTTCACATCTGGTATTTTCACTGTTCTTTGGTCAAAAGTGAATGGCAGGTCACCATAGGTTTCCAGAAGAAAGTGGACGCATATGCTGAAATTTCTAGCAAGTTCGTAGCGCAGTGGCACTTTGTCGCAACCGAGGAAAAACTACGGTATTGTTGGTGCAAAACATTAAGCCTCACGGCTAGCAGCAACTTAATCATGGATATACTGCACCGTATGGCGTTTATTTGAGCTCTACTCCACACAAAATATTACAGGGGCACTTAGGTATCCCTTTGTGGATTGAATGCGAAAGCAATGCCATTCCTAACGACACTTCCTTTTTTTTTCTCTATTGTTAGGAATGGCAATGCTTTCGCATTCAATCCACGTAGGTATAACTAAGTGCCCCTCTAATATTTGTATTACGTTACATCATACGGCGTCACACATCATGGTACGTCATGTCGTCACGTGAAGTGTGATGTCATCGAACCGAGGACATATTTTTATGACCATCTTTCGGGCACATCAACGCCGATGCCGTCAAACATGATGAGAAATCAGCCTCAGATAAACAGGGACAAAGAACGGCTAAAGACATGCTATCTATTGCTGTAATGGGACAAGCTTCTTTTTGACGGGAGAGTAATGTCGCATTCCGAAGCGGCTGAGATAGCACAGCAGCTAGCATGCCCGGCTCTCACACAGCAGCACCGGGTTCAAATCTCAGCCGTGGAAGCACATTTTATTCTTTCTTTTATTCCTCTGTTAACGTTTGGTACAACTCGGATTTTCCGCTCCATGGACATATAATGCTTTGGCATTAAAAAGGCACATCCTGTCAGGAATGTGCCCTTTCGTGTGGTAGGGTCGCACAGCTGCTCACCGCTTTGCAAATCACTACTGAAGTACGAGGGGCCGCTAGTGTTCACCAAATCAGGTTCACGCCATTCATAGGTGAAGGATCCTTTTGGGTGCACTGAAGATTTGTGTGGCATTTGCTTTCGTTGATTCATTGGCGCATCTCGCCGTTGATTGCAGTCCTGCACCTCCTTAGCTCTAACGGGCAGGATGGACAGCTCGGCAGACCCGTCGGCTGAATCCTCCATGTGTAGTTTAGCGTTGCCCTTATACTGCTTCAAGTAGGGATGCATGTGAACAGTGGGAAAAACACATGCCTCTTTCCCACGCTTCTATATTAATTGCTGGTCGCGGCGAAATAGCCAAGTGATGTGCGGCCATGTTTGTCCTAAAAAGTTTGTGAGACACTTTGGATAATGTCGTAATATTTCGTTGTAAGTCACACAAAAGTTGCGACAAATTTTGTTTTGTTAATACGGATATCTTCTCGGGTTTTGTCATACTCAATTTTTTATCGCAAGTTTGCTTTTTGAACTCGGCCTCTGATGTCTCGATCCTCCCAATAATTGAAACTTAGTGTGGCGGATCCAGACCTTTGTTTTGGGGTGGGCGGAAAATTTTTAAGGATACTATTCTCCCATTCTTTCTTGTGCAAGGGGGGTCCACTCATGTCCAATTGCCCTCCGAGAAGGGGGGGCGGGAGGGGGGTCCCCCCCCCCCCCCCCTGGATCTGCCACTGTTGTGAAACCTGCAGTTGACACTCACCCATTCGGAGCATGGCTTTATGATCCGCATAGAACCCTATTACCGTTTCCTTCCTGTCCGTTGTGATTAAAAATACTTGTTCAAGATAGTAAACAAACAAAAAAAGTAAATAAAAATACACAGGGACAACAAGTGGACATAAAACACTGGCGCCAGTGTTTACCACCACTTATTGTCCACGTGTTTTTTGCGGCGCTTGTCTACGATCATGGATCAGTATGCCCAAATTGCCATGTTAATTCTGCGAAATGCTTATAAGTCTTAGCTTCTCTATGTTCAAATTTGGTAAACTTCATAAGCGATAACATCCGCTCGCTTATCTTTGGTAGACCTTTTCAAAAGCCGAAATAAAAGAGTGCAATGCGGCGGCAAAAACAGTGAGCGATTGATTCTCGCAGACTCGGGGGCAAAATATAATTTTGCATTATGGTGCCCCTGACAATGTTATTAGTGCCACCAATTAAACTATCAAGGTAGTTTGTAAATTAAGTGCCTGGGTGAACAAAAATGTAGGAATTTTGAATGTGACTTTCCGCATTTAGGGCTGGTTCACACATACAGTGCAGGGCTAACTCAGTCCTGTAAAGGCAACGAGTCACTGCTACTTCCATGGCTTGTATCGTGTGTTCTGAGAGTCCTCCTTTCCTAAAGGACTGATGTCCCGGTTTGTAATACTGTTCAGCGCTGAGGTAGTGCTGCGCTGTGAACAGGACGCCTTGCGCGGACATTGAAGTTTAGATAAGCAGATCAACGTGTAACTGTGCATCTTTTTTCTTTATAGGTTACCAGTACAAGGTCTTCTATGGACATGAAGGCAGTACAAGGTCTCCCATGGACACGAAGGCAGTACAACGTCCCCCATGGACACGAAGGCAGTGTACCGTATGCTCGAATTTTGCATTTTTAATAAACCAGTTATTACTCCTTCCCACGGGTTTATGCAGGCATTTTTCGAACACTGCATGCGTACATAGGCATACATAAAAGTGACACTTGCACTCACTTTCCCCTTCCCTCAAAACAACGGTTAGATCCGGACCACATGTCATGCAACCTATTGCCGTCTTCCCTCTTAGAGCCGTCTATCTAGAAACCCAGGCTAGGAGTATAATTTCTAGTACATTTCATTTGAAAGTCTAGATACACTGCTTTGAGTCTCTGTTGAAAATCAAATGTTATTTTCTACTACGTTGCAATTCAGGTTTTGATGGGCCATCTCCTTAGGTATATTCCGACTCGTCGGAATATCCCTAATGAGATGGCACGTCAAAACCTCAAGTACAACGTGGTAGAAAAAAACATTTGATTTTCAACAGACTCAAAGCAGTGTATCTAGACTTTCAAATGAAATCTATTAGAAATTCTTATGAGGTGGCACGGCTGAACCTCAATTGAAACGCGGTTGCCAATAGTTTTCGTAAACTCCTTAGGGAGTCGTTACAAAACATCAATTGTTTTTCAACACAGACTCGAAACGGTGTCAATAGACTTTCAAATTATATTCATATGAAATACATTAGAAACTTTATGCGGTAGCTTTGTCGAAACATCAATTGGAACGCGGTGGCCAATAGTTTTCGTAAACTCCTTACGGATTCGTTACAAAACTCATT